TTATTAAAATAATAATAATTATAATTAATAGAATATTTTACATCAAAAATTATTTTTCACTTAAAGTACCATAAATTTCTAAAAACAACCATAATTTTGTTTTCATGCAAGAGCTATTACAAACAAAGAATAAAATTTATAAGAAAAAAATAATTAAAATATTAAAAATATTAATTAAAATTTTTGAAATTTAAATTCTTGTTTTGTTATTTGAATTGATAAAATAAAATTTTGTATGAGAGTTTTCAATGTATTACCAAATTGTGGTACTGGATATTTTCTAAATTATTTTCACACAACAGTTTTGAATTAATTTAAAAAAAAAATTTTCTAGCAAATGTAAGACTAACACGTTAGGGTTAAATTTTCTACATTATTTTTGTTAAAAATGATCTTAAATTCCTTTAGTACAATTGGAAAATTGTATGTGAATGTCTCGATATACCTTCACTGATTCGCAACCATAAAATTATTTTAATGATTATTTTTTAAGAATCATCTCCCGTTTTTTATATACATATATACATATTTTGCGTTTATTTAAAAGCTCTGAGACATAAACTCTCAATATGAAATTCCATTAATAAAAAGAAAAGAAAATTGGACGTAAATTCGATGTTTTGTTATTGTATCTGCAATAAGCACAAAATTCAAATACATACATACATATATTTCCTATATTTATATTTACATATTATTACTATATATTCCCCTATGTAGATATGGAAAAAAACGTGTACTTTATTAAACAATGTTAATGATCTTATTAATTCAGTTAATATGCCAAGCAATAAATAAAATATTATAAATCAAAAATTCAGCTGTCATATCGTGTTGAAGTTGCACAAAAACATTAATAAATAAAGACAAAAAAATATATGTATGTATGTATATGTATAATATGAAAAACAAAAATTTTTTGAATAATTTTCAAAAATAAAATTAAAAAATTTTTATTAAAAATGCATACTTTTATGGATAGCCTTTGTTTAAAAAAAAGTTAATTATAAATTTATGCCCACTTGTTATAAAAATATTTTTTTTTCTTTATTCATTAAATTTCATACATTTTCATTAAAATTAATCTGATGAACAAGTATAAAAATACCTTGGCTTATAAATCGATAACAATTTTCACCTTGCAAAAATGACAAAGTTAATTTAGTAATTAAAATGCTTACAAAAATATTTTTCGTTTTTTTTTTTTGATTTTCTTACTTTAATTCTAAATAAATAATTGTGACTTAATTTTGATAAAATTATAACAAAAAAAAAATTTCTTTTGTTTTAATAAAATTTAATATAATATTATGCATCTGTCGTGTAGAAGTGAGAAAATACAGATCTAGATAGTCTAACAATAAAAATAATGATGAGTGTGTAAATGAAAAATTATGAAAACGAATGATTAACAGAATAATGTAGAATAGTCAAATGCAGGGGCCTCGGTGTAATATTCGATAAAATGGTATGATACCACGAATCAATTTGTATGGTACTATACTTTTCCATTTCTGCAAATATGGAAATCGTTTCACAAAAATCAAATTACATAATAAGGCCCCAGATTAATTCTAAGAGTTGCGTATAATTCTAGATTCTTAGCATAATTCCAGATGCTCTTACACATAAAATTTATATATTATCTTTTAAAGCATATAGAGTTTCAAATGCTATCTGTCTTACCATATAGACTCAAAAATACTGTGGTATATTTGTTCAAATTTATTATTTTTAATACTGGAAATGCCATGGATTTATGCCATAATTTAATATCTAATAACAGAGCAATAAGCCAAATTATGTATAGCTCTCGGCGGAAAATGAAAATTTTTAAAATTTTCATGAGATTTAAAATTAAGTATGGTCAGAAAGAATAGAAATGATATTATAAGCAGGTATTTATAAGATTTGTGGCAAGACATAGAAAAGAAATATAATAATAATGTAATTATAGTATAAACTTTTACATTGCATTTCAATGAAATTAAATTATAGCAACAAATTTTTTTTTTAACGTGGATAATGTTAAAACAATTTCATTAGAAAATTAGCCACAATATTAAAATGTAAATCAAAGAAGAATCAGGCGTAATTGTACTAAACTCGTTAAAGATGAAAGAATTTTAATATGAGAAAATTGACTTTAATTTTCGATTCGTACTTATGCAGCTTTTACATTAAATCACTATTAGATTATTAAATGTACAACATAATTATGAGTTCTTTCTTAAAAATTTCCCAACACTACAACACTGTGAGTGTAATGTTTTTGTCACAGTTTTGCCCTCCATCCATTTCAGAAAACAAATTTACTTAAGTTTTCTAAAAGTTATTGAAAAAAGTGAAAATAATTTTAAAAATATGCATAGTTACAATCAATTTACAATAATAAAAAAATCATTCTTCATTTTAACACACAATTTGCTACTTGGGTAGTCGCAAAAGAAATTTTTTATATACAAACATAACATGAAACTGAATAAAAATTAAGAAATTTAGAACAGGTAAACCATATTTAATTATAATGTATATTCAATTTTGAATATAAGCCAGAACAAGAGGAAAAAAAGAAGTAGAAATAAAATAGAAAATCCAATATGCTTATGTGTTAGTGCATATCCAAAGTTATCGTATATGAAATATTCATAAAAATTTGGAAAAATGATGACAAATTTTGGCACACATTTTAAAATTTTTCATATTTTTTGTTTGTTTTTTTATACCCTGCACTTCGTGAAGGGTATATTAACTTTGGTATGGAGTTTGTAACTACTTGAAGGAGTCATCTGCGGTATGGACATATATATATATTCTTGCTCAGCGTAAAATTCTGCGTCGATTTAGACATGTCCGTCTGTCCGTCCGTCCGTCCGTCCGTCCGTCCGTCCGTCCGTCCGTCCGTCCGTCCGTCCGTCCGTCCGATCGCACGATAACTCAAAAACGAATAATGCTATCGACACCAAACTTTCACAAGTTTTTTCTTTTGTGCCAAGGACGAACCCTATTGTTATTGGACTAATTCGGACAACGGGTTCGGGTAGCTGCCATACAACTCAAAGAGTTTATTTTAAATATTTCGAAAACTAATAAAGCTATAAATATAAAATTTTGTACACATGTGTCCAATTACATTTTACACATGCTCTAAAAATTATAATGGGATAGCTGCACCGGTTCGGGTGGCTGCCATACAACTCCAACAGCAAATTTTTTATATTCGGCAAAATAATAAAGTCAGATTCATGAAACTTGGCAGTCATGTGTCCAATTATAGGTCAAATATATTTCTGAAGTTTTAGAAGAATTGCTTGACAGGTTCGGGTACCTGCCATACAACTCCAGAAGCTAATTTTAAATATTTGGAAAAATAATAAAGTCAGATTCATGAAACTTGGCAGTTGTGTGTCCGATTGTAGATCAGACATATTTGTGAAGTTTTAGTGGAATTGCTTGACAGGTTCGGGTACTTGCCATGCAAGTCTAAAAGCTTATTTTAAATATTTGGAAAAATAATAAAGTCAGATTCATGAAACTTGGCAGTTGTATGTCGAGTTATAGGTCAGATATATTTCTGAAGTTTTGGTGGGATTGCTTGGCAGGTTCGAGTAGCTCCCATACAAGTCCAAAAGCTTATTCTTAATATTTCGAAAAATAATAAAGTCAGATTCATGAAACTTGGCAGTTGTGTGTCCGATTATAGATCAGATATATTTGTGAAGTTTTAGTGGAATTGCTTAACAGGTTCGGGTACTTGCCATACAACTTCAACAGCAAATTTTTTATATTCGGCAAAATAATAAAGTCAGATTCATGAAACTTGGCAGTCATGTGTCCAATTATAGGCCAAATATATTTCTGAAGTTTTAGAAGAATTGCTTGACAGGTTCGGGTACCTGCCATATAACTCCAGAAGTTAATTTTTAATATTTGAAAAAATAATAAAGCCAGATTCATGAAACTTGGCAGTTGTGTGTCCAATTGTAGATCAGATATATGAAGTTTTGATGGAATTGCTTGACAGGTTCAGGTACCTGCCATACAACTGTAAAAGCTAATTTTAAATATTTGGAAAAATTATAAAGTCAGATTCATGAAACTTGACAGTCGGATGTCCAATAATAGGTCAGACATATCCGTGAAGTTTCTATAGAATGTCTTCACGTGTTCGAGTAATTGCTACACAATAACGAAAGGTGCAGGGTATAATTCAATCGGTTTATACCGACTGAAACGTTTTTACTTGTTTTTATTATGTTTTTGATATTTATTTTTTTTTTTTATAAAATTTTTCCTTGAAAAAAATATTTTTTTTTTCATGTTTTATTAGAAGAAATTTTTTTTTTATAATTTTTATATTCGAGAAGAAAATTATTTATTTATTAAAATTATTTTATTTATTTTTTTTTTTTAATTTTTCTTGTTTTTAATATTTTCTTGGTTCATATTTTAATTGAATTTGAAAATTTTGTTGTTATTGTTGTTTTTTTTTGTTTTAAAAAATTTTTCTTTTTGACATTTATCTTTTTTATCACACAATCTTCACGTAGGTGAAAATGACATTCGGTATAAAAAAAATAAAAATTAATTTTATTTAGAAAAAAATAATGAAAAATAATAAAAATCTAGAATTTTTTCTCTTCATAATCCAAGTAAATTATTAACGAACTTTTTTAATATACGCGTAGATATAAGACAATGTTAATGTATACCTATAAGTTTAAATATAAAATTATTAATAATTTTTTTTTTGTTTCAAGTTTAATATTTAATCCATATTTATGAAAATAGGAGAATTTTTATATTACATTTTTGTTATGTATTCAAATTTTCACCTATATAATATTAGTCATGGCAAATTTTTTATAATTTTTTTTTTAAAAATAATTTTAAGACCAATAATTTGAAAAGAAAAATTACAGCTATTGCATTTTTGGTTTTTTTTGAAATTTTTTTATTAATTTTGTTTTTTGTTGTAATAAATTAAACAAAACACTTACCGAAAATACTCAAAAGTAAAACACTTTCACTAGCAGATAGAAAAACTGCACGCGTTCAAAGCACTTTACTTCAACTAACTAATAATAATAAAAAAAAACAGATTTTGAAAAATGGGAAATTCACTGAGAAAAAAATCTACAAAAGAAAATATAAAAAAAAAAAGGAAAAAAAAAATTTCTTTTAAAAGAAAACAACAGAAATCACAGAAAGAAAACGCAATACACTTAAAAAAAAATATTTTTATTTTTGTTTTATTTTTGTTTTAGTTTTTATTTCAAATATCGAAAATATAATTTTTCATTTGATATTTTTAAATAATTCATTTGAGTCACAAAATTAAAATCTTCTAATATTTTTTTTTCTTTTCGTGTTTATTTATTTTTTTTATCTTTATTTTATTACAATATTTTTGAGTTTTGCAAAATAATATTTTCTCTTATTTATAATGAAACTGTAATAGTAAAAATCCCGATTTTTTCACAAAAAACAGAAAAAAGATCAGTTATATTGAGGGGAAATTTTTTAAAATTTAATTAAAAAAAAGGGAAATTTTAACTGCAGAAGGGAAAATAAAATTTGAATAAAAAATTAAAAAAAAAAAAAATCGTTTGTTATTTTTTGATGCAAAGAGTGCAGTACGCGTACATATGTACTAAAAAAGTACCGTTAGTTACAAATATACGGTAAATATTTAAATTTAAGAGCAAAAAATTATTTTCAGTAAAAAAAAAAAAATGAATTTTATTTCCCTTTTTTATTTATTTATTATAATTTCAGTTTTTTTTATAATGCATTTATTAAAATTTAATTAATAAAAAAAAAATTCGCACAGCGTATACCACAAACGTGTATTTTTTTTATTGCTTTAACCGCTAACAATTACCAATGAATAAAGCTACTTAGTTGCGATCTAAATAACAACAGGATTGTGTAGAATGAAAAAAAAAATTCTTTTTTCGCTTTAATAAAAAAAAAAGTAATTTTTAAACAAAATGAATTGGCATTTTTCTACTTTATTTTTATTCTTTTCTCCATGGTTTTTAAAGAAAATTTAAAGGAAAAAAAAAACAAACACAAAAATTAAAAAATAAAAACAAATCTAATGTACATAAATAAATTTTCAATAAATTACCTTGTATAATGCGAAAAAAATCAACAAATAATTTTTTATATGATATTGAAACCACCAAAGAAAACTATTGTAAAAAATAATTCTAATTTTAAATTCACCTGTTCATGTCTATGTGTATTTAGGAAGTTCAATTTCTGGAAACGATTTCCAATTAATGCTGATTTAGGTGATCCAAGTATCGCTGCTTTGTCAGCGTTAGGCAAAAAATGAACATGCATAAAATTTTTGATTGAAATCTAACTGATAAGCCTATTTCTTAAAATTGATCCGCTTTAAAATTTTCATTTTATATAGGAAGATTATAGTTGCTATATGGCACGTACCTCCATTAAATGAAAAGACCATTCTATCGCATCATTTTTTTTGTATTTTCAAACAAAGTATTATTCATCATGACAGGGTAACATAATTTCTACTGAGCATGATTTAATGTATGATATCCGATAACTAGCATTGAAACAATAGTAAAAGGTGTTTTTTCGGGATGTTGTGTTGAGTGTTTGTAGATTCTGAACAATCCGTTAAAGGAAAAGTGAGCCACTTCAAAACATAATTTTACGGAAATCCTAGACTATATACATAAGGTGCGTCAACCGACTTCAGATTTTAAAAGCAATGCTGGTTGATTTGATGAAAAAAAATGCAAACAAACAATCAAGACAGTTGGCTAATATTAGCAATTTCAAACTTATTGTGATTTTCCACTGAAATGTCAGCCACTGAAAAGCCAGACGCTCTAAGCAACTGTAAACATTGGCTTGTGTATTGTGAAAAAATTAATTTTAAATAGAAGGGTATTATATGGGGGTATCCATGCGAGAAAATGAATTTTAATTGAATTTCGGAAGATTAAAAGAGTTTAATATAGCTACTCTAAATAATATTATCCAGTTAGTGGTCAAGGTAAAAACTTCCGTTGTTTTCACAATCATAGGAACATAATTGATAAAAATAATTTTTATTTTATGAACATAATATGGGTAAATTAAATTACTCATATTAGTATTTTCCATTGGGAAGGCAAAATGTTTGAAAAATCGAACCTTTAATCTAATTTTTGATTATTAGCACTTTGCCAAAAAAATTTTTTTTCTAAAAAAAAGTGCTTACGAGTATTAGTATCTTTCTGTCATTTTTAGTTATTTTAAGGAAACCATAAACTTTTTTAAAATTTTGTTAACGCAGGAAAGTAGCCTGGAGCTTTCTCTACCGCTTCTATGCCGAATAACTTAATATTAAAAAACCAAAATGGCTGCTAAAATTTTCTTAAGTCCATTCTTTTCGAATTTTTAATATTGTTTTTCTTCTAAACAGCATGGTTTAGGAGTTTGAAATCTAAAAAGCTTTTAGATATTGATAAATAGTTTATTTCGTTAGAAGAAATTCTTTTCCATCTTCAACGTTTCTCAAGTTATCGCCTCTTGAAATTTTTAATTTTTGGCACCTTATATTTCCGAAACTGCAAGCTTTTCCAAATTTCTATAAATGCAGAAAGGTAACGGTAAATGCCATGTCATCAAAAAATGTAATTATTTCTCTTAACTCATATAATTAACCCTTGAATTCGAGCATTATGTAAACGCCTTTTTCATTTTTTTTTTTGTTTTATTTTAAAGATTGGTAACATTGATAATCCTAAAAGTATGCAATTTTGAAATATATTCATATATGAGTGAAAATCATGTAGTATATAGCTGTATTGTTTTTAAAAGCAGTATTTTCACTTGTTGAAGAGAATAGTGCTACAATATAAAACCATTGGTTTGACCCAGCTTTATCTGAAATGAATATTTTCGATAACAATATTTTCACAAAGTAGAGAAATTTCAAACAATGCTTCCAAAATTCGAATCACATTATCTAGTCTAGAATAATTTCGGAATAGAGAACAAATAATATTAAATAAATTTTTGTTTAATACTCCGGTCCTATGTTCAATTTATATTATATTGAATCACATAACATACTCAGTATTTTTCTGTAAGTATTTTTATTTCATACAAATTTAAATACTATAATGATAACATATACCTATATATGTTATCATTAAATGTATACTTTTAGATTAACATAATACGTATTTATTTGTTTATTATACAGTTAATTTATTGATCAACACCTTAGAATATAATAATCAGTGAGCGCAAGCGCTTAGGTAGGCGTGAGAAATGAGTAAAAAAATTAAAAATTTTACAAAAATACCCAAAAAAAAAGAATAAAACAATAACCAAAACAAAATCTCTCCTCTCCATTTTACACTCTCAATTCATGAAAAATATTTACACAAAAATTAGAATTTAGAACTCAAGTTTTTGGCATAACATCAAAACTCAGCGTTTAAAATTGAAGAGATTAATATTTACACATTAGAAAGTAGATACCCATGAATAATATGTATAATAAAAACAAAATAACATTGCATATAAATACATGAGTAATAAAAGAACAACGGCGATATCAAATGAGTCGTTTTTTTCTATTTTTGAGTAGAATTTTGAGTACATGTATTTTATCTCTGTGTTAGTTAATAAAATGAGTGTGAAAATATACAATTTTCGGTATAAACGGTATATTATTAATTTCGTTAAAAAATTTTATAATTTAAAATTATAAATGCAACGAATTCATTTATTCAATATGATATGCGTTATGTACATACATATACGGTTCTCATTATAGTATTTTTCGTGTATTACTAATAATTATTTTCTACTGCTGATTAAATGATTTTTCATTTTAAAATTATTCACTATATTCGAAATTACTAATAAAACATAAGATTGATTAAACATCTATTTTGAATAAATCCGTGACAAAATATCTTTAGTCGTCTGTGGAGACACAGATTTTGTTATATAGTTAATTATAAAATACATTTCGTATAGCAAAATATTTGAAAAATAATATGCGGTCTACGCTGAGAATATTTTTGAAGCAGTGATTTATAAAAAATTTTGTATGTGGCGATTTGGTCGGAATAATTTGTTTACATTTATAACCCAACTGTTGTCGTCCCAACTGCTTCCATTATCACTAACCAGTATTTTTGTTATAACACAAACATTGTGAACTAGTGTAATATACAAAATTTTGAGGCTATACAAGAAATATTTTCAGTATCTTTCAAAATAATTTTTTATTGAGTTTTTATATAGAAGATATCTTAAGTTTTTTATTAATTTCTAACATTTTTTAATAAGCCCTTAAATACTTTAATAACAGGAATTAAAAGAAAATTTATATAAATATTATTATATAATATGTATGTTAATATAATTATAAAAAATGTATGTACGAATATAGTTTTATAATATCATTATAACTAATTAACCTTATCATTTTAAAATTTGAAATTCAAAACTGATTATTTTGAGTAGTAGTTTTATAATATATAAGATTGATAAGTAGAATAATTAATTTATATTTTGCAGTTAATGAATATAATAATATCGGTCATAATAAAAACGGTAGTTACTAATTGATATTATTTTATAATATAGGTAAATAATAATTTTAGGTTATTGAACTTCAATAAAAAATTGCAAGAAACATTGTTTTAAAGCAAAAGTATAACAATGAAGCGATAAGTTTAGAGAAAGTGGGAAGATAGCCTTCATAAATATAACAATGTAATAATCTATTTATTGTGAATAACTAATTCAATTACTGTAGAAATATTACTTAGTTGCTACATATTTGTTAAGGAAAAGAATGTAAGCAATTATCACATGTGGGTTAAAAAATCTATCTATAATATTTTAAGTATTTCATAAGAACGAAAGATTTCCCTTGTTATCTTCATTGATGTCATAATAATATTATAATGATAAAAAAAAAATTCCTAGAATTGATTGCTTTTTCCTGAATTTTTATATTAGAAACAAAATTGCTTTTGAGTTAATTCTATAGTATAAATTTTAATTTAATTAATCTATTGATTTTCGAACAGAAAAGAAAATATGTAGTCGATGAATAAAGGAGAGTTTTAAAAATTAGGAAAACACATTTTTAAGAATAAAAATTAAGATATGATAAAATGATTGAACTTTGTATTCTTTTAAATATAAGACAATGTAACTGCGTATTATTAGGACCTTTGTCGACTAAATTTCAACATGAAAATCTAATTATAAAATCAAAACCAATAATATTCCAGCTGAATAAAATTTTTGAGGGACTAATCAACTCTGCATTGGAACCTTCTTACCATAATTTCATGCAGTTATATGTGAAGCGACTTTACTAAAACTTATAGGATACATCTGAGCCCTAATTGGACACATGACCGCCAAAATTCATGCTAGCTTTATCAGTTCCGTTGTAGAAATTTCTGTTATTTCGCAGAAAATTCGGTAAAACATATGACCATATTAGGCACATAAATATGTTGTTATCTTTATTAGTTTTAAAAATATTTAAAATATGTTTTTTAAATTATACTTTAGCTAACCGACCCCGTCATTCGTATCGGTGCAATTACTGTAGCAACCATCCTTGACAGAAAAAAAACAATTTCTCGTAGTTTGGCGGTGTTTACCTTTTTCGGTTTTTAATTTATCAAGGACGGCTGAATAGAAAAACGAACATGTTTATGTATATATCAAGGTGTTGTTACTACAGATAACTACTTCAAGTTATAGGTTATTTGGTGGATAATTACTTACTATATAAACTACATAAATATTTTGTGTTAGTTTCACATCAAATTCTCCTTGACTCAATATAGAACCTTGAATAATATAATTTAAAATTCTAAAATATTAATCAATTGCAAGATAAAATTTATTAGCTTTAAGTGTCTGCCATAATTTATGTATAACCATAAATTATAATGTATTTATAGATTACTAGCTTAATACTGTAATACCTTCTAGCAACAGATTTACTTTACGATAAAAATTTTATATATGCATTCTTGTACGTTATATCTGCATTAAATTTCAATCACTGACAAATTTCTCACTTGAATTTTGTGAATTTGGTTAATTTATTGCATTACATATAAAAGCTTGCACGAGGCAGCAATTATAAACACTTCAAATTCAACTGATTACTCAGCTATCTTAATACTTTTCAATATCTAATTTAAATATTTGTTTTTGATTTATTGAAGGAAAAACCTATGTATATGTACATACTTATAGTCAATTGTTATATTTGTTATTCATGCAATATAATATTGTCGATTATAAATAATTAAAAACTTATCTTTAATAAATTAAAATCAAATTATCAAATTTGATTTTAATAATGTCAATGTAATTTTCAATTTATGATTAGAATTTCATAAAGCAGCTAAATTGTATATGACATTTTTGTGTAGAACACATCATTTTCAATTCACTTACCAACACTGTATTTCACTGATTATAAAAAATTTTATGGCAATAGAAAATAAGTTTAAAATTAAATCCCTTTCTTTCCCTCTAAAATTAATTAATTTATTATGAATTTTTAGATCGTTAATACTCTGTTTTAAGAAGCTTGAAATTTTCAGGCGAAAAATTGATTATTGTTGTTGTTCACTTGTGTAGTATATTTTTTAATAAAATTTTCATTTTGAATAATAGTTTTCAATGTGTTATTTTAATAAATTTGTTAATAACAATAATTTGACCTACATAGCTAGACAGTTTTGAAAATAATTGTTTTTCAGTTCACTAAAAATTACTTTTTGCTTCGTATAGTTGGTCACGTAGGCTTTCTTGCGTTAATTCTTTAATTTTTAACACTTCTTCTTATTAGTTTCATTCTTTCCGTCCGTTCGTTTGGGTGCCTCTTTATAAAACTTTACCCTTTAAGATAAAAAACTGGAATAATAATAATTACAACACAAAATGTTTGCAATGATTGCATACACATAGGATATAAGTAGATTTTTATCAGAAACATTATAGCCTAGCTATCCGCAAAAGAAAATTTTTAATACTTATTATTCAAAATTTTTATTATATTATATATTAAAACATTTTAGTGTATGAATGAAAATAATTTAAAGAGTGTAATAAATAATTGTTCCTATGACAGCAAATTGTTACTTTTACAGGAAAAGTGTTACTCTACAAAGCATATCAGTTGGACCCAACTTTATTTCCTTTTTCTTTAAGTACTTAATTATTACATTAAAACAAATAGCTTACAATAATTAATTAAATTTAAAATTTTAAATTTATTTAACTAAAATATGTAACATAATAGGTATATTGTAATAATAATAATAATAATAATAATAATAATAATAATATTATAGTATAACACTCAAGGTGGTTTTTCAATAAATACTAAAACACTGTAATCATAATTATAGTTTGTTTGGTAATCACATATCGCAATTTCCATTCTCTGCTTGTTTCATATTCTAAATTCCTAGTGCACAATTTATTTGAAATATAGAATATAAAAAAGTATCTGTCTGGAACGCAATTTATTTGAACTTATTCGAAAACAATATCGATTTGCGGTTTATATCCAAAATGTATTAAAGTTTACTGATTATGTAATCTTGTAAATTTATTATTTTTAAAACTAAAATGTTAAAATAAATTTTTTATGAAAATATTATCTTTTTAATTGATTTCGTATGAAATAGTTTTAGAATTATATCTATTACTGTTTTCACAAAAACACATTATAAAGGCATGTATATACTTAATATAATAATATATAACAATAGGTGTTATAATATAAATTATCTTAAAACTATTTGAAAACCACTTCAACTCTTATATTATGAAAGTGAACAAAATATCTTAGTTTTTATTTCTCTTATGGTGAAGAGCTTTAAATTTTAGTTAGCTATCAAATTTGTTGAGAAATAATGACGATAATACGATAATATTATAATCACACTAATAATATTTAATGTGATAAGCCATATTAAAAATATAACACACATATTATTTAAAATGAACATTTTTAACAAAAATTTTTATATCTAATGTGACTTTATTAATTTTTAGCTCAGTTAATAAAATTCACCTGAGCTGGACGGAGTGAAAGAATTATTTACGGCTTTTCTCTCTATAATATTTTGTAATTATTATCGTTTGTTCTCATTATAGTGAATATCGAGTTGAGTTCGTCATACAATTTTGTAAAATAAAATTATTATAAATTTTTGTTTTGCTTTTTTGTTAATATTTTTAAAATCCGGATTAATTAAATTTTATAATTTTTGTTGTTTTCTTTTTAATTCTTTTACTAACTTGGATTTTTCCTTATAATTTTGTTGAAAATATTATTGAAGTTTTATGTAGGCACCTTTTTGTTTCAAAGAACAATCAGTTGCCTTTTAGGTTTTGATTAATCAGTTCAGTGTTTACTCGTGTTATAAAGGTTACGTGTAATTAATAATAATAATTATTAATTAATTAATTAATTACGAATTGGAATTACAAAGTTTTACTTGAAAAGAAATAATATTTTGGTCATTAAGAAAAATTAAATATTTACGGATTGCCGGCAATATATTTTACGATATAGTCGTTTCTGGAACATATTATTATTAAAATAACCGATATTATCAAAATTATATTTTTGATAATAAATAGTAATAGTGCCAAAAAAAATTTTATATGATAAATTATAGAAATATTTTGTCAATTTATTGGAATAAATATAAAGGAATTTACTCAATGTTGAATCATATGCAAGAATTATTAATTGACAAAAAATATATTCGCCATTTACTAAGATCATTCTTAACTAGCTCAGAATTTTTTTAATAAATAATTAATTATACATGTACATATATCGAAATATAACAAATAATATTGTATGTAATAATTTTATAAATACAAAATTATAATACGTTTTGGAGTTGCAAATTTGCGAATATACATCAAGTATACACAAGCGCTCATTAAGTACATATTTGCGATATTAATTTGCAAAAGTGTATTATAACAAAAAAAAAAAATACACGAAGTGATCGTGTAAAAATTTGGCGTATGGTAGAGTACAATAAAAAAAAACAGTCGTTTTTTTTTTCTTTGTTGTTATCTCGTTGAGATAAAGCCTGCGAAAGAGTAAAAATAATAACTTGTTTGGCTTATTCCATATTCCAAAATAATACGAGAAGTGTTTTTCGTCAAAATTTGAATTTATTTGAGATTATTAAACAAAAAAATAAAAATAAAACAAAATCAAAAGAATTTGATTATTCTTTGATTATAAATATTAAACGAAGGAATAACAACATACACAGTATTAGTTTGGATTGCAACTTTTGGTGGCTGTTATCATGAGCGGAAAGGTATGTTATTAATATATTTTTTTTTTTGTTTTAAATTATTTGGTAATAATTAAATTTAAAATTTGATTTTGTCATGGGATTATTTCAACAATGTCTACTATTATTTCCTTTTAATTATTATAATTTTATTAATAATAGAAAAAAGCAAAAAATTCGGGTTTTCGGAAAAATTTGGCTGTTCCGAAACTTTGCTGTTCAAGATTTACTTTTATATTATGTTTGAATTTTTTTATTTTCATTACAGTTTTGAGATCAATTTTATAAATTTTAATTGTAATCTTTATAGCCACAACAGTCTTATAGAAGTCTAATTAATACTTTGTCGAACTTTATTTAATTATTTCTAATATGCTATTTTGACTATACGTTCCGCATTATAATTTAGTTATGCACTTATGTAAATTATTGAAAAAGTTCAATGAAAACTTGGTCAATATTTTTGCTTTTCATATTTTATTGAGAACAATATTATCTCAAAAATCTATTAGTTAACACTTTTATTTTTCAGTTAAAATAGATTGAACTATTAAAAAATTTCATATAACAGTATAACAGTATTTTTCCCTCTGTTATTTCAAAATTTTGAATTGCCCTAAGTAAATATTATGTAGTTTGTAATTTCAATGAGTATTCTTGTTATTGTATTGTGAACATAATATTCATTGTCACTATTCACCGACCGTATTGTGCGAGTAGTTTTAAATTAATTTCTAAACTTTTAAATTAAAAAAAAAAAATTAATAATTAATTTTAATATATTCGAAAACAATTAATAATTTTAATACAATTTTTTTTACTTTTATTATAAATTTATTCAAAAACAAACAAAATTTGTCCGAAATCTTGCCGAGTTATAAATTTTTTTAATGTGCCGGTAAATCATAATTTATTATAATTTTATAACAAAAACAAAAACAAAGCTGTACTAATTAATCAATGTTGAAGTTAATTCTATTTTAAAAACTATTCTATTTTAAAAACATATGATAATAAATGGCATGTCTATCACGTATTTTATGATAGTAAATGTATCATAATAGTATTTAACTATTATGATAGTAAATGGCATGTCTACCACGTATATTTTTATTTACACATGTTTGATTATAACATCAAGATGCTTAACTATTCTTTATGAGTGAACATTTTCAAAATAAAAAGTAAACGAAAAATTAGTATTATTTAACAGTTTTCGGCATACCTACATAGTAGTATATAGTATGTATATGTATAGATAAATATTTACTAAGATAGTATCGCTTGTAAATATTTAAAAAAGTTAATTAATTCAGATGAATTTAATAAAAGTTTGAAATTTAAAAAAAAATTGTTATTATCGATTCATTGTGATGAAAGTGTTTGATTTGCTAATAACATGTGAAAATTAGTATAATAAAATGAAATGGAAATAGTCTAACAACATTTCATACTAAAGGTACGATTCATATCTAAAATTATGTCATAAATGTAGGTATTTTAAAAATTAGAGGAAAATTACTGGAGTGAATTCAGTTTTCATTCGAATTTCAAAAACAAAATAGCTGTAGTAAAATATTTTCATTTAAAATGAGATGTTTAACACGTTTTATGTGATTATGATTTTCCTAAAAGTTATTTATTATTCATAAATATTCATATACGTTGTAATTACTTAAAGTACTTTAATAGAAAACGTAATTAAAATGGCAAAATAAACTATTACAAATAAACGTTATAATTGAAAAACCGCACAAGTTTTAGATCAAGTTCTAAGTAATTATTGTTTATTCAATGAACTTCATTGAATATTATTGACGCATAATTGCAATACAATAATAAGATTTGCTTGGATGAACAATATTAATATTCAAAATTTTTAATTAAATTTTTTGTGATGATTGTATGATTATCTTGCAACAATACAATCATACATTTTTTGTGTCTGATTGTATTGTTGCAAGAAGTAAAAAAATAGAAATATCACGTGTGTATCTATAATTAAATTGAGAAATATTATACATTACATAAAATAGCTCAAATTTTTTATGCCGTTTCTTATCATTTTAAATAATTTTGATTTGATCCATTAAAAAATTTTGTATTCTAAACTGGTATTTCAATATTTTGAAACTACAATATCATGTATAATATTAACTGAGGGACTATTTTATTATTGTTTTAACTATTATAGTTTTCTATTTGCTATACACAATAATAAACAAGTTCAATTTTGAAACAAAGAAAAAATATTACTTAAAGTGTGATTAGATAAAATTAATACTTAATATTACAAACCTAAAATTATGATTAAAATTTACTAAAATTAAATTTTAAAAATAAAATTCGTCTGGAAAAAAGGTTTGATTATCTTTTCATCTTTCTAATTTAAAATAATGTCTATTTGTGTGTATAACTTTTATTAGAGTAGAAAAGTGTTGGAATAAAACAGGACACATATATGTACATACTCAGTTAGTCTGGTCATTTATGATATTTTAAAGCTTGAAATACACCAACTTTGAAAAAAAAATTTTCCATAAATTTTATTACTAAAAATATTTGAGCACAAGTATTTAATTTGAATGACATATTTTCACAGCTGATCGGTGCCGAAATCATAAACTGACATTTACAGTACCTCAGCCCAGATTTTGTTTCTTAAGACAAACCAATTTAGTTACTTAGAATTAAAATGATTTTCCATTTTCCAACTTTAAAAATCTAAAATTTTGAAGAATATCTTTTGTCATTTTATTTTCTTTGAAAATAAACGCACGTTTTCCTAAAATTGCATGTATAAATTTTGATGATTTGCTCTTAAAGTACATTTTGATTTATTTTTATTTTAGAAATCTTTTCACCTTTTCAGTTATTTGCAGTATATAATGTCACTTAATGTAAAGTGTTTTAAATCATTGTGCCAATTGAATCAAGAAACAAAAAGAAAATTCAAACTAAAATGGTTAATATAATAAACTTTTATATTTAAAGAAAACAAAAAACGAGGTATCCTTGTATATTTGAATTGAATTTACTTTTCAAAAATGTCACATATTGAATCAAAAATTTAAAGATAAATAAAAATTGATTTACAAAATAGTTAACACGGTTAACCTTAGGATACTTGTAAATTTATTGATAAAGTATTTTCCGAGAAAGTAATATTTGTAATTTATATAGCAATATTATTAAAGTAGCAAGTTATTGTTCTAGCGCCTGTCTTGCTTTTAGATTTTCTGGTGTTTATATCTTATTCAAAAGATTAGGCTTACGATAAAAGTAATTTTCAATATGCAAATGCAGAATGATAAAATAGTTTAAAGACTGTTTAATACTAGTATTGAGAAATTCAGTTTGAAAACCACTATTGTGGTTTAAATAAGTTTTAAAATCACTATAGAGAAATTCAGCAAGAACATAATATTACTAAATTTTGATTTTTAAAAATGAACAATTTTTTGGCCATTTCGCATTACAAAATGCTAAGAAATTCTAAATACACTTATAATCAACCTTCATTTTGATTTAAAAAAAAATTTTTGATATTCTATTGTAATAAAAAAGAATTTGTGTACTTGCATAAAAATGACAATTTGAGTAAAGGCAACAAAAATTCAAAACCAATTTTTCATCTTTATTTACTTACTTACAATACGTGGGATGCTTAGATTTTAAACCTTTCACGTGGAAATTTAAACATAAAAAAAAACTATATGAGTTTGTACATATGTATGTATAACTGTGCTACAGTACATAAAATACAAGGATAGATAAATGATACAAAAATATCAAATTGAATCAACATTATCATATATAAGAGAGTGACAGACTAGGAATGAGCGAACAAAAAAGAATTTATATGACATTTGTGTAGATTCCTTTTGTGTAAATATTATATAAATCATATAAAAATTGTCATTTTCTTGTTTTTAGTCTTAGCTTTTTATTTTTTATAATTTTGTACGGATTCGTTTAAGATTTTGTAAATTAAATCCATGACTTTTTGAATTATTAAAGGAAGAAAGAAGGTTTTGTATATTAAGAGTGTGGGTTATTTGTGTAGTGTGTACATTTAAGGGTAGAATGTATAAGATTTTTTTTATTATTAACTTAAATTAGACTATAGAAGAATTTGTGACTTTGATGTTTATCAAAATTTTGAATTACTTAACAAATGTTCAAAGTTTATCATGCACAATTACGGTATTGTTTCTTCCTTAATTTCAGTTACATTTAATTTAATAAAAATCTAAATCTGAGACTCTAAAATTAAGAAACTATGAATACTAGTTGGACAAAGCAGTTTTCTGAATCCTTGTGTAATGTAGTGCCTGTATTGGAGTATGGTATTGGAGTAGTACTGAAATGATTTAGAGGAGATTTCTTCAATATTCCTTATCACAATTTAGACAATTGTAAGAATGGCCAGTTATGATTACTTTGACCTTTGCATTAGGAATGTTGCTCGTAATTTTAATGTTTGACTAAAATTTACATAAAAGTAACTTGTTTCGCTACTCATTTTCGTTTTTAAATAATAATAATGTTTTGATAACGTTATGTAGGTATCTAATACAAATACACTCTGACAACTACTAACCCTTCATCATTTGTCGCCCACTTTAATTAATGTTATCGGTATTAATTAATGAGATAGATTATTGAGATCTGATAGTCGAATTTTGTGTATCTAAATGCTTTCCACATAATTTCAACTTTAAATGATAATAATTTATGCTTGATCAAAGCAATTCACCTCATTTATACTAGTACTATAATATAACATCTATTAATAAGCCAACTATTTAAATATCAAAAATTATTGTAGATAGCGTTATTGTTGATTGATATTGAGGCATGCATTTTTAAATAAAACCTTGGGGTTAAAATGCCTGCTATAGACTAACAAGGCAAATTTTTCCCATAATAGTTAATATTTTTCATTGTCCTTATCCTGTCTAGTATAATTTTTTTCTTTAAATATAGCTACCTTTAAATACGTATAAATATTTAATAATTTA